GTTCTCATTTCACAGCTCACTGACGCTTCAGCGGCATTAGGAAAATTCCCGTAAATAAACTGCAACACTTACTAAAAAGTCTTTGCCACACAGACATTAGCTGTTCTTACAGTTGAGCGTAAAAACAATTCTTTAGGAGGGTCAGCTTGGAAGAATGGGCAGGTCTTATCAACTTGAGCCATTTCTTTACTTCTGAGTACTATTCTCTTGATAGTACGGCAAGAGATACTTGACTTAGTTTACTATCTATGGAACACCTATTACATTTATGTTGGTCCTTAGACACTAGTTATGTACTTCAACCAGGACTAACAACCAGCACTGCACACTAATTTATTATAATGTAAAGCAGTGGTTCCCAAACTTGTTCTGCCACTTGTGCAGGGAAAGCCCCTGATGGTTCGGGCTGGTTTGTGTACCTGCTGCGTTCGCAGGTCCGGCCAATTGCAGCTCCCACTGGCCGCGGTTCGCTGCTTCAGGCCAATGGGAGCTGCTGGAAGCCGAACCTGCGGACGTGGCAGGTACATAAACCGGCCCGGACCGCCAGGGGCTTTCCCTGCCCAAGCAACGGAACAAGTTTGGGAACCACTGATGTATAGTATATTAGGTCACTTGATCAGGCCCAAGACAAGGCATACAATATCCCTCACTCAGCAATGAATTCTTCACTAAGACTCACGACACTGAAAAATTTTGCCATCGCTTATACCCCTCCCCCCGCGCAAAAAAATTCCATGCAGAACAAGGCTTTAGAATCAATCTTAAACAAAAGAAAAACAAAAAGAAATTTGTTACTCAGCACTTCCTCTTGTGCTTCCTTTTAAACCAGGTGAAATGTAAATGGTGCGTGTGATGGTGCAATATATACATCAACAAGTGTGTGATTATGATCACATGTAAAATAAAATGAGGTAAGTGTTAAGAGATGAGGTTAGCATAACAGACATGCTAAAGCTGACCATATAATAGGAATACCAAAGTGTGTGTATATTTGCAAATAACCATGCCAGCTCTGGTTCACTGTGACTCGTGGAGTCATAATAATTTTCTCCATCAAAACATTCATGAATCACAAAAGTTTAATTCATTTTAACCACAAGTATTTTTTGGTTATATGAAAATTCAAACCAGATATTATTTTTCTGCTTAAAAAGTTTCAGTCATCCTGCAGGTGAGCAGAACCAATGCCATGTGACAAGTGATCAATCACACACCACAAGTAAGGAAAGCAACACTTGGCAGGCAACCACTGAGCTGAAAGTTATTCCACAGAACAACTCAGCAAACACAAATAAAAATCAAAAGTAAAGATTAGCTTCAGATAGATTGACACACTAAATGAGCAGCTCCATTCCTAATGCATACCATCCAAAATGAATGGTTCAACCAGCTCGTTTAGATGTTAAGGGATCAAAAGAAAATAGAAATATGTGTTTGCTAAAAATGCCCAACTCCCCTGTATTGCTGATGTAATTATAACTGTAATATATGGGCACTAAAGAGAGTTAAAGATTCATACACTCAGCATCCCACGGGATCATGCCTCATCCCACGGGATCAGGCCGCATCCACCTTATTTTAGCTTAGTTTTCTGAGCCACATGGCACCTTTGACAGGAACAGGGAATTCCCACTGGTTACAATGGGAAGTCAGCATTTGGATCAAAGGCAGTACACTCTAAGGCTTTGCGTGTTTGCCCTCTGCGAAAAGCTGTTAATATTGGCAAAGCAAGTTTTTTGCATTATTATTTTCCCCATCTCTGCCACTTCCTCCTTTGGCCAGGTAAGACTGATAGACCAATCAATCATATCATTATTTACATTAAACAAATCCCTTCATGCTAATGTTTATGCACTTCCTCCTTCCTCTAGTTTTGATCAAAACACCCACACCTTCTCTCTTCCATCACTTTTCCCTTTGAACAGCTTCTAAACTTCCAAGCATGGCAGTGTAGTGAAAATAATTCCCCATATAATCTTTAACCTAATTCTCTTTTACTAGACAGTTAACTAATTAGGGTTCTGGAGCTGGTGACTTCTAAATTCAGATCCCTCCGTAGCTTAAGGGTTTGTTTTTCTCATTCCAGCTGGAGTTATTTTTTTTAGAAAAATTCACAACAATCAAAGCTCATCCAGTTTCTCCCATTTTCTGTTCCGGCTAGAAGGGGATAAATTAACTGGGATAAAACAAGAACTGAGTTGAAGCTTGGCAAGAGTTTTGAGCTGAACCCAAAATGAACATTGGAAGTTCAGGAAAGTTTGGACAACTCTTCTTCCCATTGTTTGATTATTTTTGCTGCCTCCACACCACCAAGTTACAGCCAGGACCAGAAGTAAAAGTGTCAGCAAGCCTCAGGAATGACCTCATGAAGTATTTCTAGCCAGCTCAGAGCCAGTTGCTTACAAAAATCTCATGAGATTTCCAGTCCAATTCTCGAGTCCCAAAAAGGTTCAGATCAGATTTGATAAAAGCTTGATCTGGCTGTGCCTGCCAGGAGCACTACTGAAGTCAACGGGACTCCACACAGATACAGCAGTCTGCCCATGTGCATAGTCCCCATAAAGTCTCCGAGAAGCATCCCAACTCTGGAATGTTTATCAGACATGAATCTCTGATCCCATCACATGTTCCAGCTCTCCAGTATTGATTTTTTTGTTTTTGTTTGCTCCAATACTGCCTCCAATGCCTACTTGCACTTAGATATAGTACTACCGAGATAGGAAAATGCATATATGTGTGTGTGTGTGTGTGTGTGTGTGTGTGTGTGTGTGTGTGTGTGTGTGTGTGTGTGTGTGTGTGTGAGAGAGAGAGAGAGAGAGAGAGAGAGAGAGAGAGACGACG